GCTGAGACCAGAGCTGGGGGAGCCTTCAGGCCTCTGCTCCAGGCCTGTCCAGACAAGACTCAGGTGGGAAGGAGTTTTCTTTGACCTTCAGGGGCTACAGGAGAGAGCTTGGCCACAAGAAACAGAGGGGGAGGACTTGTGTGTAGGGGGAGGGGGCTGGGCAGGCAAGAAGAGAGCAAAGCCACGATGTCTAGGGATAGAGACTGACCAGTAAAGTGGTCGCCCTTGTCAGTCACTTGTACTGAGAGAGAAGCTAAAAAATAACAAAGAGGGCAGTGACTGGGAGAGCTGGTGCTCAAGACGCCCACCTGCCACGTATGGGTTCACAAGGCAGAAGGAGGGAGCAGGGCAGTGTGGTTACTACTGCATTCAATTCTCTGCCTGTTTTTGTAAAGAAGCAATCCACGGGGAAGAAAGGCTGCCAGCCCCATGGACAATCCTGTCTCTGGAAACGGCCTCCTTGGCTCATGCTGGCCAAGTCTGAGGACAGAGCGCACTCACCTGGGCTGGGGGTCTGCGGCTCCCGGGGGCCATTCCCTCTGGCTCCAGGCTCCCTGCTGGGTCAGGCCTTGGTCCTCTGCAGGCTCAGCTGGCTCCACAGATGGAGATGTCTTTCCCTTCTCTTCCTAGGCAGGAGGGCGACCTACAGGGATTTCAGGGGGTGAGATCCCACAGGAGTTACAAAGATCCTGGCCCCGCCCTTAAGGCAGAGACTCCAGCAGGGGAGGTACCTGGTAGGGTCAGGCTTGAAATGAAGATGGTCTGAATAGGAAGACTACTTCCCTCCCTGTCTTACTCCTCTCCTGCCCCATCTTTCTACAGAGACCCAGGAGCCAGAGGGGGCTTTGAGATCCCAGATGGGATGAGAGGAGTCAGAGCCTCAAAGAACCCTGGTTCACAGCTCTCTAAGTGGTACTCTGTTCTCTCTGCAACCCCTCACCCAAACTCACTCACACTCAACACACACTCACACACACACACACACACACACACACACACACACTCTCCAGGCAAAAGACAGACTTCTTGATCTAGGAGGGAGGGTAGCTAAAGAAGGCTGAGGAAGGGGTGGGCTGTGGGATGGAGCTGCTAGGAATGAACAAGGGAAGCCTGAGATGAGAGAAACAATCCTGCCCAGCACACAGTTGCCTGGCAGGGGCTCTGACAAAGTGGGGGCATGAAAGCAGGAGGCCAGGGGAAGAAGGGTCTGGAAAGCAGGATACCGTAGCAAAGCCGGGAGAAAGGAGAGTGACAGACAGGTTCCAGGAGGGCAGCTGAGGCTGGGAAAGCAGGATGACCGTGTCTTGGGGTCTAACTAGGAGCTGAGGAGGGCTCCTGGGACCCTTCTTTGGACCTTAGGCTTGGAGGCCAGTTATCTAGGTCCCTAGAGGGAAACCGGAGAGAGGGAGCCAAATGCCTGGAATCTGATGGGGATCCAGCAGGAAAGCCCCGACAGGTCTAGTTAAGAGAAGCCAGACAGGAGCTTTTGGGCCTGGGTCCTGGTAGGTCCTGTGGGCAAGAAGGCAGGACTTCTGGGTCCTTAAAAAGAGCCAGGGCTGTTGGCAGGACAACTGAATCTCTGAATAGGAACTTGGGGCAGGGAAACAGGACTCGTGGGTCCTGATGGGAAGGCTGAAGGAAGTAAATCTGAGTCTTTATGGGAGAGACCTAAAGGTCAGGCAAGTGTGAACCAATGGCAAAGCAGGGTACGCTAAATGGTAAAGCACTCTAGGATGTTTGGGGTGTGATGGGGATCCTTGACAGGAGGCAGGGCCACGGAACCAGCTTTGGGAGGGAAGGGGCTCTTGGTGGCCCTGAAAGACTCAGCGTGAGGTCAGACAGGGAGGATGAGATGCAAAGGAAAAGCAGGGCATTAGAAACCAAGCACTGCTTGACTTTCTGGTGCAGACCTACCTAGGAACTGCATGCACAGACCTGGCTTCCAGAAGGCAAAGGGATCTCGGGCTGTTAGGGAAAGGCAGAGTGACTTCGGCAACAAGGGAAGGCAAAACAAATCCAAAGGTTCCCACTTCCAATCAACCCACTATGGCCAGGTCCTCCCAGTCTCAAAAGTGCCACCCTGTCCAGTCCAACTGATAACCCAGGATCTCCCTTTTCCTCCAATAGCTCCTACAGCCCAGACCTCAGACCCTGCCCACCTGTCCTCCATGAGCCCTGCCCTCCATCATGTGGAATGTCTTGGGCACTGGAATAACTGTCTTCCACTCTAAATTCCTCCCAGGCCTCCAAACTTCACCCCAAGGCTCAAATTCCACCAGTTCCCAGCAGGCTAGTCATGTGAAAGAGTTCTCCAACAATCTCTGCCACCTTCCCCCTCCCTCCATAGCCCTGCTCTGGGACTCAAGACTTTCCTCCTCCTGAACCGAACCTCCTTGTCTTCTTCCAGCTCTGTCCCTGCTATACTCATCTTCTTCCAAAGGAGGACATCCAGGCCCTACTGGTCTTTGTCCCTTTTCTTTAATCTCTTTGGGATAGACCTTGTACTGACATTTTTGGGTCAAAGGGTATGCACAATTTGATAGCTCTTCGGGGCTAGTTCCAAATTGTCCTCCAGAATAGCTCAACCAGTTCACAATTGTACTAACAGTGCAATTAGCATCCTTATTTTTCCATATCCCCCCCAGCATTTTTCATTTTCCTTTTCTTTCATGTTAGCTAATATGATGGGGGTGAGGTGGTACCTCAGAGTTGTTTTCATTTGCATTTCTAATTATTAGTGATTTAGAGTATTTTCATGTGAGTATTGATAACTTGGATTTCTTTCTTTGAAAACTACAAGAAATCCATGCTATCAACAACCATATTTAAAAAAAAAAAGTTACAATCTGTAATCACTTATCCAAGTTACTAATAATTAGAAAGAAAAATGACACATGTTGGCAGGCCTGAGGACTGTTAGCCACGGTGACACTATTTGTGGAGCAGTGAACTGGCCCAGGCATTTCTGTAAAACAATTTGGGAAAGGGGCAGCTAGGTGGTGCAGCAGATAGAGCAACCGGCCCTAAAGTCAGGAGTACCGGAGTTCAAATCTGGCCTCAGACCAAATACTTGACACTCAGTAGCTGTGTGACCCTGGGCAAGTCATTTAACCCCAATCGCCTCGCCAGATAAAAAAAAAAAATTGGGGGCTGTGCACAAGAAGTATTCATACTCCTTGACCCTGGAACACCTCTATTAGCCCTACACACCAACAGAATCAAAGAAACAGGAAAAGAGCCCAAGTGTTCAAAAATATTTTTAGTGGCTTTGTTTGTTTTAGCATAGAATTGGAGAAAGGAGGTACCGATTTATGGCCCTAATGGCTGAGAAAATTATGACATATTCATGTAATGGAATATAACAGAAAATTCATTCTGGGCACAAGCCCTGGATGGACTCAATGTGGGAAGGCCATCAGCCAGAAATCATCTTTTATTTACATTAGAGGATTCACATTCATGAATGGACTTTATGGAGAAATGGCTTTCTCTGGAAGAAGAAGGTTATTAGACATTAGAATATTCATACTGGAAAGAAGCCCTATAAAAGCAATGCCTATGGGAAGGCATGCTTGACTGTTCATTGGAGTTGTACTGGAGATAACACATATGGATCTCTTTAATGAGGGTAGGCCTACTGCTGCAGCACAGACTAGATTAGGCATCTGGAATTTCATCCTATGCATAAATATAATGAATTTTTCTCTAAAATACTAATGTTCCGATTACACATGTATAACCTATATCAGATTGTTTGATGTCTTGGGGAGGGGGGAATGGAAGAGATGGAGGCAGAAAAAATCTGGAACTCAAAATCTTACAAAAGATGAATGTTGAAAACTCTCTTTACATGTAATTGGAAAATAAAATAAAATACTATTTACAAGGGGAAAAAAAAACAAATAAAATACTGTTTGTCATTACTCCTTAATAATATTCAATACCATTTCTATACCATCACTTCTTTAGCCATTCCTCAAACGAATGGTATTCACTTGTTTCCAGTTCTTTGCTGGCACAAAAGAGCCCTAGTATTTCTATTTTGAGATCTGTTGGACATTTATTTTGGAAATGATTTCTTTAGGCAACGAGGTGGGTGGCTCAGAGGATAAAGTTGTATGCCTGGAGCCAAAAGACCTGAGTTCAAATAAAGTCTGATACTGACTAGTTGTGTGAGCACTGGCAAGTCAATGAACACACTCCGGCCTGCATTTCTCCACCTGTTTGTTGTTGTAGTGCTGGCTCAGTCTTTCAATCCTGTCTGACTCTTCATGACCCCATGGACCATACCACCCCAGGCCCTTCAATCATCCACTACCTCTCAAAGTCTGTCCAAAATCACATCACTATCTATCCGCCTCATCTTCTGCCACCCCCTTTTCCTTTTGCCTTCAATCTTTCCCAACACTGAGATCTTTTCCAATGAGTCCCATCTTCTCATTATGTGGCCAAAGTATTTAAGCTTCAGCTGCAGTATTTGACCTTCCAGTGAATAGCCTGGATTAGTTTCTTTAAGTATGGGCTGATTTGATCTCCTTGGTGGTGTCGACCTCAAAGCTGGTTAAAGAGACAACAAGCTAGGTGATAAGTAAATTCATATTGTTTTATTCCCTTAAGTCAGCAATATGTAACATGTTACATGGAGACAGAGCTTTAACTCTGCTTGCATCAAGCAATTTTTGGAGGACATTTAAACCCTGACTCGGGATGTCTGTGTTACTCAGTTTTATGGTCTCCATATGTTTAAGCAGAGCATGAGAAAGGAAATTTAAATAAGATAGGCAAATGTCAGATCCAGGATATCTGTGTTTCCTTTACCACCATCGAGGTAGCATCTGGGGGCAGCTAGGTGGCGCAGTGGATAGAGCACCGGCCCTGAAGTCAGAGGACCTGAGTTCAAACCCGGCCTCAGACCAAACACTTGACACTTACTAGCTGCGTGACCCTGGGCAAGTCACTTAACCCCGATTGCCAAAATACACACACACACACACACACACACACACACACACACACACACACACACACACAGGTAGTGTCTGGGTTAAAGGCGCCTTAGTGGTCATAAACAGAAGAATACTCTTGATCAGTTTTAGCTGTTGACACAGGAAGACTTATATCTTATTCTTCCAGAATGAGTATGTTAAGGCTTAAGTTTCCACAGGTAGAATGGTGCAGAGAGTTACAAAAACAAGTCCAGGAAATGAAGCAGGTATACTGTAGGTGGGCCTGGGCTTAGCCCAAAGCTGATGGTTCCAAGAAGACCCCAAAATCAAGATAAGAGCACACTTAGTGAATCTCAGGCGCAGTAACTTCTCCGCCCAGGATAGGGGAGGGGGACAATAGCACAATTGTCGGCACAATAGGACGGGAACAGGGGGCATTCCAGAACAAATGTCACCTGGAGGGAACAGAGTAATCCAGCCCTGGGAGGTTTCAGACAGAATTTAACCGCATAAAAACCTGCTTGCCGTATTTCAGCGGTCTCCCACCAAGCTCGAGATCTCGGACCACGTGTGAGGAGGCAGACTTCAACCAAACTAATGGGAGGTCCATGGAAGGTGGGAATAGGGGAAAGTTACCCGACCCCATGAATGTTAAGACTCCAGGAAAAACGGATCCTGAGGCGCCTGAGCCACTAAGCGTTGCTGGGGTTGGCTGGAGTTTTCTTCCATTCCTTCAGTTCCATCGAGTCATGGCACCATTACTGTCGACCTGCAAGTTGGTTAAAGAGACAACAAGCTAGTTGATAAGTAAATCCACATGCTTTAACTGTTGATACAGGAAGGGCCATTTTTAGCTCACTCAGGGAGAAAAGATTAATTCAGGCTTTTGGCCTTTATTGAGGCTCAACTGATCTTAAATGATTATCAGGGGTCATGAGGAGTTAGACACAACTAGACTTGTGGAGTCAGGTGATGGCGCATGGGTCCAAGCCCAGATCTCCACCCCTTGCCCCAAAGGAAATCTGGCTCCCATTGGTCTACAGCCCCAGCTCCTTATCTCCCTTTGTAAGCCCCAGCTCCACCTTTTGATCTTACTCAGATGCCTTTCAAACTTCTTCCTTCCAGTGCCCTTCATTATCTATTCTTATTCAGCCTCCCATCTCAGCTCCATTATCTATTTCCATTGTCTATTCAATCTCTGACATTCCAATAGGAATTCTCCCACAATCACCTAGACCCTTTTCCCAGCCCCTCCTCTGGTCACCCAAAATTACTTGAGTGTATATAAGATCCACCCTGGCCCCCATTTAAACGCTGAGACTTTCTCATGCTCACTTGTCCTTACGGGCATCACTGATGTTCAGATTCCTTAAGAGTCTGGCCTGTCTGGTTTATCTCTAATAAACATTTTCTCTGACTGAAAATAGATTTGGGTTGAATTCATTCAGGCAGGGCCCATGTGTTATGATCTTAGGGTCCCAGAAACCCTAAACCTCTGGACCTTATCACAGGAATAGCCCTCTGTCCATTGTGCCAGACGTTATCTTGAATAAAGGGACTTTTTTTTAATCTTGATATTCCATAGACACGTTATATTATGTCACGTTAATGATAGAAGAAACACAGACATCCTAGATCTATCATTTCAATTGACACCTTGACATTCTCTTATCTTACTGTATTTACAATCTATCAAATTAAGAAATTCGTTTCTCATATTATGTATTAACACATATGGAGACGATAACTTTGGCTGACATAGGCATCCTGAGCCAGGGAGGGAGGGAGGCCTGAGAGGGAATTGCTCTGAAGTTGTAAGGTCCCCTTTGTCTGTCCACCCTTAGGTTCATTGTCTATAATGAGCTCCCACACATATCTCGATATGCATGTTCCACAAGCTTTGAGAGAAATAAACTGGCACATGCAGCCTAATTTTGTTTATTTTTCTAAGAATGAACTTAGTAATGGCTGACATCTTCTACGAATCATATAGCAGAGTTTAATTGTTTAAGTAAACTAGAAGCAAAGTCACCTAAAATAAATTAGTAGAGACCATGAATTTGTAAGTTCTTACAAACCCTAGAATTCAAGGTATCATAATTAATTGGTATTATATAATTAGAACTTGTGCCAAATTGCAAAGGAAAAATTAAGTAGAGTGAAGAAGATTTGTTTTATTCTCTAGATAGTCTGGGATAAGATTGAGAAATAAAGACTAGAGGAAGTGAGAAAGTAGAAGAAAGTAAGAGAGTACCAGATCAGAATATGACAGAAAACAAGAAAGAAACAGTTTTGAAGTTTGAAGGGTGTTGATCTGAAAGCTGGTTAAAGAGACAAGCTAGATGATAAGAAAATTCATATTGTTTTATTCCCTCAAGTTAGCGCATGTACATGGAATCAGAGCTTTAACTCTGACTGATTCAAACAATTTTAGAAGGACATTTAAACCCTGACTCAGGATGTCTGTATTTCTCAAAAAAAAAAAAAAAAATACAGCCTCCATATGTTTTTTAACAGATAGCATGGGAAAGGAAGTTTCTTCGTTGAATAGGTTGTAAATACAATAAAACAGGAGAATATCAAAATGTCTATTGAAATTATAGATCCAGGATATCTGTGTTTCCCCTACATAACATATGTCCATAGGATACAAAGATAAGAAAAGTCCCACTATTCAAGAGTGACTGGTCCCAGGTATCCCATCCTTAGTGATCACAGACAGGAAGAATGCTGGTCAATTCCCTCTGGTCCTGCAGTTGCTGACCTAGGAAGGGGCATTCTTAGTTCACTCAGAAAAGATTAATTCAGGTTTTTGGCCCTTATTGGGGCTCAATTGATCTTAAGTAATTATCAAGAGTTTGAATCAAATTCCACTAGAAGTGTTGAGATTTAGGGATGCAGGGACCCCAAAATAGCGATGAGCAGGTCCTGCCTGAATGAATTTGACCCAAGCCTTCTTTAAGCCAAAGACCAGGTTTATTAGAACATGGATGGGGGGTGGGTAATGATGTGGGGGCAAAAAGTGCCCTAGGATTAAAAGTAATATTAAGGGTTACTTTCCCAGGCCCCTGAGGGGAATGAGGCTTATTCTGTAGCCCACCCTGTACCAAAAGAATTGCCTTTGTTTCCCTTATCCTGTGTTCCTTATCCTGTCATTTATCTTCCTCATCCTGTCATTTATCTTCCTCATCCTGTGTCACAACAATTTTTCCTTATCTGGAGAACCATCTTCCTCACCTTGTTTGTTCTTATCCAGTCCCTAATCTCCAACTCCCAGCTTTCTGTCTATATATATATCCTGGATCTTCTCCTATATCAGCACTCTTTATTTAGCTCCTTGTTAACATCAGGCCAGTTGAAGCTTTGACGAAATAAAGCTCCCAATGGCTACAGAGAAGATCTAAGTGAATTCTTTCACACCTGAACCAGGTCTCCCAAATCTAACCCTCAACAGTAAGATTATAAGAATCTGCCATATTGGCCAGACTCTTAAGGAATCTAAACATTTGTATTGCTAATGCAAGTGGGCCAGATTGAATCTGAGCACTTTAATGAAGGCAAGATGAATCTTATATACAGAAAGACTGTGGGAAGGATCTACCTACGATTGGCCAAGTAGGCTGAGGTAACTGAAAGCTAACAGAGAAGGGCCTGGGACCTGGAGTATTTGGTCAAGGGAGAATGGAATCTAAATAGAATTAAGGGTGGGGAGGTAACAGACAATGAAGATTGGGCTGAGTCAGAGCTAACAGAATAGGGAGATTGGGCATAGCCACAATGAAAGGTCAGTGTTGGGTGGATTACTGGGATGGGTTGATCCCTCAGGTGAACCCCAGAAGACTTGACCATGTGGGAAAAGGAGAAAATTCAAGGAAAGTTGGGGGAGGGTGTTTCCAGGGCCTATACTCCATCATTAGGATATGATGAAAGAAATGGAGAAAGTTTGAGCAAGTAGGGATGAGAAGAGGGTGGGTGTAAAGTTTAAAAAAAAACTTGGGAGTCATGGGTTTGCTGGTAGGTGTGGGCTTAGCTGAGTATGATGGGGTACTTTAAAAAAAAATAAAACTGTAGGAAGAGATAAAAAGGAGCAATTACCTTATACAAATGAGGCATAAAAAGAAAAATTGATGAAGAAGAAGCTAGTAGGGGGAGGGGAGGTAGTGATGGGACCTTACTCTCATCAGGAATGGGTTAAAGAGAGAAGACAGACAGACGGATGGATGGATGGACGGACGGATGGATGGACGGACGGGTGGACGGATGGATGGATGGATATAGATATATACGAGTATAAAAGTCTCCTAAATTCAGAAAGAAATAAGAGGGCAAGCGGATAGGGTGGGGGGTAGATAAGAGAAGAAATCTGAGAGGGTTAGGTAGGCAAAGCAATAGGAGGACAAGGTAGTGGGCAGAAGTAAAGCAGAGGAGGAGGGATAGAGTAAATAGGGTGAGAAGGATAGTGAGGAAATACAGGAAGGAGGAAAATACACAACAAGTAACTGTAACTCAAAATGTGAATGGGATGAGTTTACCCATAAAATGGAAACTGACAGCAGACTGAAAATTTGAATTCAACAATATGTTGCTTTCAGGAAACGATAAAAATGAGAAATACACACAAAGATAAAAATAAAGGGCAGGAGTAGAATTTAATGTGTAAAAAAAAGCAGGGATAGTAATCATGATCTCAGACAAAGTTAAAGTTAAAATAGATTTAATCAAACGTGAAAACTAAACTACACCATGCATCAACAATATTATTCAATATTGTTTTAGACAATTAAAATAACTAGACAGTATAAAATACCTGAGTGTATACCTGCCAAAACAGACACAGGAACTATATGAACATAAACATAAAACACTTTTTATACAAATAAACTCAGATATAAGTAACTGCAGTAATATTGATTGTTCATTGGTAGGTAAAGCCAATACAATTTTTTAAATGACAATTTAACCTAACTAATCTATTTATGTAATGCCATCCCAATTAAATAACTAAAAAATTATTTTACTTCATTAGAAAAAATAATAATGAAGTTAATTTGGAAGAACAAAAGGTCAGAAACTTCAAAGAAACCAGGGAAAAGAGATGTAAAAAAGATGTGGATTCAACAGTATCAGACCTTAAAATATATTAGGAGGTGAGAACATGGTTGAAGTATAAAACAGATTATTTGGATTATTTTAAAAACTTCTATAGATAATCTCTAAGATAGATGTGATTGGGTTAGAATATTGCTTTGGTGTAGGAAATGATGAGTGTTGATTTAGAAAAACATGGAAAGAGTTGGACCTATGAAGCAAAATGCTATCCACCTTCAGAAAATAGATGACAAGTGGAAATAAGTATAGTACAGTCTTACATATATGCGTATGAGTGTCTCTGTGTATATGTGTGTATGTTTATAAATATCTATGTACATATGCGTGTGGATATGTGTGTGTATAGGGTGGGGGGGAACGAGGGGAAAAAAATAAAATAGAAAGTGCACAGCAGAGAACAAAACCAAACCAAAAAGGAAGCAAAGAAAAACTGGGCAACTTTGAAAACAATGTGCAGTATTTAACAAAAAGATTTTCTTCAAATGGAAATTTATTGTTTTATATTGAATCCTCTCTTAGTCTGCTGTGCACATGGCAATTTTTTCTTCTCATTTGATAGTTAAATTTAAAATAAAAAATTTACCAAAAAAAAAAAAAAAGATGAAAAGAATTCTTAAGGTATATTAATCACAATCTGGACTGAACTGAGTGGTATGAGACTGTTTCCAGTCATGGGCAAAAAAGCTACCTAGTGTTATACTGAGGTCTTGAGGTGGCTCTGGGTAAGATGGCCAAAACATTCTATGCCTTTTTGCTTTATGGTTGCTTTCACTTGTAAATGGTATATTCACTAATTTTGATATTTAGTTATATAGAAATAAGAACAACTAAGAAGCGGAACAGAGATTTCCTTCATTCATTAATAAAGGTAATATTTTATTAACCAAGATGGGGGTTTGATCTAATTCCTGAGAAAGACATTGCCAGCTGCCTCATGAAAAATCGGGAGAATGAGTGGTGGCAGCCTGATGAGCCCCGGGGAGGAGGGGCTGACTAGATCTGAAAATTCGTCCATCCTTGGGCTAGGTCATTTATTTCTCCAACTTGCTCGATGTAGAACACATCTGGCCAGTGCGCTAGGAATCTGATGGTCCCATTTCCATTACAGTGATACGACTCACTTTTTTTAGAGTTTCTATTATGTTGGAGCAATTCCCTATCATGTGGATAAAATGTTTTTACCTTTTCATCATTTTGGTTTCTTCTTTTAAACAACAGATTTCTGCTCTACTTGAAATCGCATTTCATCTTTAACATCCTATCTTTCTATTATTTCTCTTATGAACAATTAAGGAATTGATTGATCTCTTCCCATTTTTTTTTCAACTAGAGCCTCTTGAATCACTGTTCTTCATTTCATAGAATTTATTCACAGGGCCCACGCTGTCACTGAAGGAAGGCAGTCCTTTGTTGATTGATAATTAAAATTCCTAACTCACTCCCAACAGAAATTTCCAAACTTCTTTTACTTCTATTCCAAACTTTTTTCTCTCTTCCCACACCATCCTTCACCAGTGTGGGGTGGGGCCGTGAACTCCAAACATCCATTTAAGGAGAGGGCTCAGCTCATTCCTCTCATTCCTCACCTAGCTGCTCTACCTTTGAGACTTCTTTGACTGATTCATCTGCCATGTACCAGAGTCTCTTACTGGGATAACCTCATACGCCTGTAATGTCTCATCAGTCATCACTACCCTCTGCCTCTCTGATTAGAGGGTGGGGCCATTTAAGAGAAGAACTCAGCTCCAACACTCCTCATTTCTCACCTGCTACACTCCTTTGGCATTTCTCATGGACTTCACTGCACCCCAGGGGCTGGGACCTTCTGCCATCCTTCTCCATTTTTCAGCTTCCTTCTGCTTGGTGTCTTCCCACATTAGATCATAGGCTCTGTGAGGGCAGGAACTGGCTCTCATTTTAAATTTGAATTTCCAGCCCCTTGGCACATGGCCTGGCACACAGTAGGTGCTTACTATTGATGGACCATTGAAGACCCAATCCCTCTCATTCCAGTACCCGCCCCTTATTTTACCTTAAAAACTGAAGCCGTTCAACCTGAGCCAACTCTGCTCCCGGCCTCCTTTCAGACATCACCACCATGATGTCCAGTAGCAGAAACTCACCGGGTCCAGAAGAGAACTTTTTACCTTCCCTCTTACTGTCAAAGGCAACACCATGCTTCCAGCAATCCAGGCATCATCCTCAACTCCCATTTCTCTCCCCCATTATCTGATCTGATGCCAAGGCCTGTGGATTGTACCTTGCAACATCTCTCAAACCCGCCCTCTTCTCCCTTCCGATACTGCAGGTCCTCATCATCTGACCCTCAGACTGCTGCGGTAGCCTGCTGCTGGGTCAGCCGGCCTCAAGGCTGCCCCCACTCCAATGCGTCCTCCATTTGGTCCACAGAGCAATTTCCCTCAACTACAGGTCTGATCATGTGACTCCTCTGCTCTATAAACTCCAGTGGCTCCCTACCACCTCCAAGATCAAATACAAATTGTCTTGCATTGAAAGCCCATCATGACCTGGACATAGCCTGGTATTCGGGTCTCCTTACACCTGATTTCCTGCCACCACTCACGGGTCCAATGACCCTGGCCTCCTTGCTACTCCAGAAGAAGACGTTCCATCTCTCTGGGCAGGGCATTTTCTCTGGCCATCCTCCATCATTGGAATCCTCTCCTAATCTCTTGTCTACTGGCTTTGCAGCAAATCCCAACTAACATCGCACCTTCTACAGGAAGGGGACTTTGCAATTCCTCTTAATTCTAGTGCCTTCCTCCTTTTAATGATATTCTGCTTATCTGCCAATAGCTTGCTGATGACACTGAGAACTGGGTCAGGTCAGTGAAGCTCCCACTGGGCTCCACATCAGCCAAGCATCTGGGCACACGTGGCGCTCTTCGGGGCAGTGTACTTGCCTGGCACATCCTGAGCTGCCTTATTCAGGCCGTCTCTACCAAGGTCTCTACCACTGCCTACCTGACAATTCTTACTACAGGATCAAATGGGACAACATTTATAAGGCTCGTGGCACGTAGCAGGCAGACTCCATGACCAGCCCCAAGCCCCTTCCAGTCTTCTTACACCTGCCTCCCCTCCACCTCCTCTCTGACCCACGGACACTGGCCTCCTGGCCGATCCTTGACCAACACCCTCCATCCCCTCACTCTCACTTCCCAATGGCTGTCTCTCATGCTTGGAATGCCCTCCCCCCTCACCTGTGCCTCCTGGCTTCCTTCCAGTCTCTGATAAAATCTACCCTCTGAAAACAAGCTTTTCCTGGTCTCCAAAACTGTTAGAACCTTCCCTCCCTCTGAAAGCACCTCCTTTCCATACTGCAGAGGGCTTGCTTGGACACAGCTGCTGACAGCATGTCTCCCCCATTAGACTGGGAGCTCCTTGAGGGCAGGAACTGGTTCTTCCTTCCTTTGTATCCAAGGAAGTTCTGAACAGTGTCTGGCACAGAAGAGACACTTTCTAAATGTTTGCTGACTTGGCCTGAGAAACGGTAAAGAGATTCAGAGAGATCTGGGGAGACACATGTGAGCTGAGGCAGAGTCAGTGAGCAGAACCAGGACAGTTTTGGCTGTGAGCTGAGACCAGAGCTGAGGGAGCCTTCAGGCCTCTGCTCCAGGCCTGTCCAGACAAGACTCAGGTGGGAAGGGGTTTTCTTTGACCTTCAGGGGCTACAGGAGAGAGCTTGGCCACAAGAAACAGAGGGGGAGGACTTGTGTGTAGGAGGAGGGGGCTGGGCAGGCAAGAAGAGAGCAAAGCCACGATGTCTAGGGATAGAGACTGACCAGTAAAGTGGTCGCCCTTGTCAGTCACTTGTACTGAGAGAGAAGCTAAAAAATAACAAAGAGGGCAGCAACTGGGAGAGTTGGTGCTCAAGACGCCCACCTGCCACGAATCATTCAAAAGGCAGAAGGAAGGAGCAGGGCAGTGTGGTTACTACTGCATTCAATTCCCTGCCTATTTCTGTAAAGAAACAATCCACAGGGAAGAAAGGCTGCCAGCCCCATGGACAATCCTGTCTCTGGAAACGGCCTCCTTGGCTCATGCTGGCCAAGTCTGAGGACAGAGCGCACTCACCTGGGCTGGGGGTCTGCGGCTCCCAGGGGCCATTCCCTCTGGCTCCAGGCTCCCTGCTGGGTCAGGCCTTGGTCCTCTGCAGGCTCAGCTGGCTCCAGAGATGGAGATGTCTTTCCCTTCTCTTCCTAGGCAGGAGGGCGACCTACAGCGATTTGAGGGGGTGAGATCCCACAGGAGTTACAAAGATCCTGGTCCTGCCCTTAGGGCAGAGACTCCAGCACGGGTGGTAAGTGGTAGAGTCAGGCTTGAAATGAAGATGGTCTGAATAGGAAGACTACTTCCCTCCCTGTCTTACTCCTTCTCTCCTGCCCCTACAGGGGACCCAGATGGCAGAAAGGGCTTTGAGATCTCGGCTGAGATGAGATAAATCCAAGCCTCAACAACTCCTGAGTCAGATCCCTCCCTCCAATTGGTACTCTCCTTTCTTGGCATCCCCTATCCCCAACTCTCTCTCACACACACACACACACACACACACACACACACACACACACACACACCCTCTCTCTCTCTCTCTCTCTCTCTCTCTCTCTCTCTCTCTCTCTCTCTCCAGACAACAGACTCACTGCTTGATCTAGGAGGGAGGGTAGCTAGGGAAGGTTGAGGATGGGAAGGGCTGCGGGATGGCACGACCAGGAAGGAACAGTGGAAGCCTCAAGTGGGAGAAAGAATTCTTTCCAGTACTCAGCTGACTGGCAGGGAGCCTGAGGCTCGAAAAAAGTGGGGGCAGAAAAGCAGGAGGCCTCTGGGAGGCAGGACACTGTAACAAAGCCAGGGGAAGGGAGAGGGGACATCTGAGTGGCAGAAGGCTTCCAGGAGGGCAGCTGAGCTTGGGAAAGCAGGACAGCTGTGTCCTGGGGTCTGACTAGGAGGACTCCTGGGTTGCCCTTTCAGAGATTGAGTTTGGAGGCTGCTTATCTGGGTCCCTGGTATCTGACAGCGAGCCAGCCCAAGAGTCACAGGTCCAGTTAAGAAAGGCCAGACAGGAGCTTCGGTGCCTGGGTTCTAGTTACGTCCTGGTTCCTTAAAAAGAGCCAAGGTTGTTGGTGGGACGACCAAATCTCTGAACAGGAGCTGGGGGCAGAGAGACAGGACAGGTGGGTCCTGATGGGGAGGCTGAAGGCAGTATCCTGGGTCCCTTTGGGAGGGGTCTGACAGTTGGGTAACTGTGACCCAATGGTAAAGCTGGGGATGGCACCCTAGGATATTTGCGATGCAATGGGGAACCTTGACAGGGAGCCGGCCAGGGAGTCAGAGTTCAGAGGCAAGCCGGCTCTTGGTGGTCTGGGAGGACACTCAGCATGAGATCAGAAACGGAGGATGAGATACAACAGAAGCCGAGTGCCTCATGGCTCCCGGCTCAGACCTACCTAGGACCTGCATGCACAGAGCTGGCCTCCGGAGGGCAGAGGGCTCTCAACTGTAAGAGAAAGCAGAGTGATTTCAGCTCCAAGGGAAAGCAGAGTAATCACAGTCCAAATAAAGAAGGCAGCTTGATCAGTTCCAAGGGCTCATGCTTCCACTCAGCCCACTCTCACGGGTCCTTCCCAGTCCCAAGAGTCCCGCCCTGCCCAGTCCAGCTGAAACCCCAGGATCTTCCCTTCCTCCAATGGCTCCCGGAGCCAGGACCTCAGACCCTGCTTACCTCTCTGCCCCAGTCCCTAGCCTCCACCACATGGAATGCATTGGCCACTGGAATACCTGTTTTCCTCTAGACTCCTCCCAGGCCTCCAAACTCCAGCCCAGGGCTGGAATTCCATGGTTCCACCACCCACCTGACTGAGTTCCTCCTCCTTCACCTCCACCACCACCTCCCTCCCTCCTTATCCCTACTTTGGGACTCAGACCTTCCTCCTTCCAAAAAGAACCTCCTAGCCTTCTCCCAGCTCTTTGCCTGCTACGCTCTTCTTCTTCCAAATCAGGGCACCCAGGCCCTACAGGCCTTTCTCCCTTTCCTTTGCTCTCTTTGGGACACAGCCCTAGTAGTGGCATTTCTGGGTTAAAGAGTATGCACGGTTTGATACATAGCCCTTTGGGCAGAGTTCCAAATCATCCTCCAGAATACCTGAACCAATCCATAATTCCACTAAGTGCAATTAGTGTCCTATTTTTCCCCATCCCCTCCAGAATTTTTCATTTTCCTTTTCTGGCATGTTAGCTAACACGATAGGTGTGAGGTGGTACCTCAGAGCTATTTTCATTTGCAATTTTCCAACAGTGATCTAAAGCATTTTTTCAAAGGAGTTTCTTTCTTTGAAAACTACAAGAAGAAATCCACGCTACCAACAACCGTATGAAAAAAATGTGCCACATCTGTAATCTCTTATCCAAGTGCCTCATGATTAGAAAAGATTCTCAGACTGGCAATGACCAGAAAATGAAAATGAAAATGACAAATGTTGGAAGGCCTGAGGACTGTTAGACACACTGACACTATTTGTGGAGCAGGCATTTCTGTAAAACAATCTGGGGCTGTGCACAAGAAGTGTTCATACTCCTTGATCCAGGAACACCTCTATTAGCCCTACATACCAGCAGGATCAAAGAAACAGGAAAAGAGGCCAAGTGTTCAAAAATATTTCAGTGGCTCTGTTTATTATAGCAAAGAACTGGAAAAAGGAGGTACCTATTAATGGCCCTAATGGCAGAGAAAATTATGACATATTAATGCAATGGAATATAACAGAAAATTCATTCTGGGGACTAGCCCTAGATGTCACTATGGGAAGGCCTTTAGCCAGAAATCATCTCTTATTTATATCAGAGGATTCACATTCATGAATGGACTTAATGGGGAAATGCCTTTCTCCAGAAGGAGGTGATTGGACATTAGAATATTCCTATTGGAAAAAAGTCTTATAAAAGCAACGACTATGGGAAGGCCTTCACCTAGAGCTCATACTTGACTGTTCATAGAAGAAACTGGGCTGGGGCTAACACATATGGATCTCTTTCATGAGGGCAGGCCTTTTGCTGTGGCACAGACTGGATCAGATATCTGGAATTTCATACTGTGCATAAATATAATGAATTTTTCTTTGAAATATTATCATTACTCCTCTATAATATTGAATAGCATCCCTTTACTATCACTTCTTTAGCCACTCCTCAAATGATTGCTACTCACTTTGTTTCCAGTTCTTTGCTGGTGCAAAAAGTCCTAGTATAAATAGTTTGGAATCTGTTGGACATTTATTTTGGGAATGATGTCTTCAGGCCACTCGCAGGCTCAATGGATAAAGCTGTGTGTCTGAAACCAGAAGACCTGAGTTCAAATAAAGTCTGGTGCTGACCCTCGGCTAGTCAATTAACATATCCCTGCCTAAACTTCCCCATCTGTTTGTTGTGTTGGCGGTGGTGGTTCAGTCGTTCACTCAGGTCTGACTCTTGATGACCCCATGGACCATACCACTCCAGGCCCTTCAATCATGCACTATCTCTCCAAGTCTGTCCAAGATCATGTCCTCATCTTTTCCTTTTGCCTTCAGTCTTTCTCAACAGTCTGTCCTGTCTTCTCATTATGTGACCAAAGTATTTAAACTTCAGTTTCAAAAAAAAATAAAATAAATAAAATAAACTTCAGCTTCAGTATCTGACCTTCCACTGAATAGCTCGGATTATTTCTTTAAGTGTGGGCTGATTTGATCTCCTATGTGGCCAAGGGACTCTCAAAAAGTCTTCTCTAGCACCACAATTCAAAAGGGTTGATTCTGCAGTGCTCAACTTTCCTTATAGTCCACTTGGGCTGGGACCTATTGCTGGCCAATCAATGAGTCAAAATGATTTGAGTTTAAGGCATGGTCCTTAAAAAAGAAATCTAGCCTGTAAACCCCAAGATATCTTGTGAGATTCCAGCGATCAAAATTTATATTCCTTTGGGCAAAGCACTTGCAATTAAGGGTACAATTCCCTATGTGGATGAAGGGAGAGGAGGGAGGGAGAGGAGGGAGGAAGAGGAAGGAGATAGGGAGAGAAGAAAGGAGGGAGGGAGGAAGGGAAGGAGGAAGGAAGAAAGGGAGGAAGAAAGGAAGGAAGGGAGGAAGGAAGGAAGGAAGGAAGGAAGGAAGGAAGGAAGGAAGGAAAGAAGGAAGGAAGGAAGGAAGGAAGGAAGGAAGGAAGGAAGGAGCGAGCTGTGTGGCCAACTGGAACTATCCAGTTGGGTCCCCAGTGGGGCACCTACTGATACTCACCAATTATTGATTGTTGGTTATCCTTTGTTCTTGAAGAGGACCATGACATCAGGAAGGTGATGGAATGATTTGCAAGCGAATTGGATTTAAGTGAAGCAAGGCAGTGCGAAGTCACCAGCCTCACTCTCCTCCAAAGCCATCTGGGTCCAATGACAAGATATAGATCAGGACCACTAGAGATGGCCCTAGATGCAGTGGGAAACCAGGGCCTTTTTAAGCTAAGGTCTTTCCTGGGTCTCAATCTGTCAGAGGCAATGCCTATTCAGGGATTAAGCTAGGTAAGAATGAGGCACAGAATGGCCTCTTTTACTGAGCCAATAAATAAATAAATCAATAAATCTATCTATGAGGTGAAACCTTTGGGGTTTCTACCAAAACAGAAACAGTTGCTCTTCATACTCAAGCTGAACCATCAGAACCCAAGTCATGACCAAATGAGGCTTGGCCAACAAATGGTTTAAGATACTGGTCTATGCCCAATTTCTGCTAAACTGCTTTCCAGCTATCCCAACAATTTTTACCAAGTAATGAATTCTTATTCCAAAAGCTTAAATCTTTACATCTGTCAAACACAAGGTTACCATAATCATGTATTACTGTGCACTGTTATGCCTAATTTGTTTCACTGATCTAGCTTTCTACTTTTAGCCTGTAGTTTTGATAATTACTGCCTTATAATACAGTTTAAGATCTGGTACTACTAAACCTCATTCCTTTACATTTTTTTAATTGTTTCCTTTGATATTCTTCATCTTTTGTTATTCCTAATGAATTTTGTTATTATTTTTCTAACTCAATAAAATAATTATTTGGTAATTTCATCGGGCACGGCATTGAATAAATAGATCAGTTTAGGTAAAACTGTCATTTTTACCCTAACTATCCACGAACAATTACTACTTCTCCAATCCAATCTGACTTTATTTGCATAAAAAGTGTTTTAGAATCATGTTCATGCAGTTCCTGGGTTTGTTTCTGGCACGTATACTCCTGCGTGCTTTAACGGGGTGTCTCTTGCTATCTCTTCCAGCAGGCTTTTGTTGGTGATGTACAGAAGTGCTGACGATTTATGCAGGTTTATCTCGTATCCTGCCATTTGCTAAAATCATTCATGGTTTCTAGTCACTTTTTAGTTAACTCTCCAGGATTTTCCACGTTCTTCATCATCATCATCGGCCAAAAGAAACAGTTTCACTGCCCATTCTGGTTTTTTCCATTTTTCTTCTTCTCTTACGGCTGTTGCGGACACTTCCAAAACAATACCGAATATCGGTGGCGATGGGCATCCCCGGCTCACCCCTCAGCTTCCTGGGAAGGCTTCGCGCTTCTCTCCATCACCAGTAATGCCAGCTGGTGGCTTGGGCAGAGGCTTCTTTATCGCTTAAGGAAAAATCCGTTCACGCCGACATCTCTCAACCTGAATGGGGGTCGCAGGCTGTCACAAGCTTTTTGTGCGTCTCCTGCGGGAATCACGACCTCTGCTCCTCGGCTACCGCCACTGCCAGCGGCGTGGCCAGCCGAAGCCCCCGGGTGGTGCCCACGTCGAGGCTGCCGGGCTGCCGGCCTGCCTCCCAGCGGCACAGCCGAAAACCGCCGGAATTCTGCCGCTGAGCCGTGCGCCTGGCGAGGCTGGCGAGGCTGGCGAGGCTGGCGAGGCTGCCCGGCTCCCGCAGGCGAGGGCACGCTCCTTGCCTGGCAGCTCGCGGGGCACTCGGCCTCCACGCAGGACTCGCGCCTCTCGTGCGCCTGCGCCTCGCCCACCCCCCACCTCCGCGGCTGGGCCGGGGGCTCCCCGGCCATGACCCGGGGTCAGCGCCCGCCCGAGCCCTCGGCCCCTCGACCATCCGGGACACCCGGAGACCCCCGCCCCCCAAGTCTCTGCGGGAGACCCTCCCCCGCCCCTTCGGGCGCCAGTAAGCCCCGGGGGGCCCGCGGGGGAGGGGGCGTTACTGGAGAGGGACTGGGGTCTCGGGGCGCAGGATGGAGGGGAGGCAGCTCTGGGGGGCTGAGGCCCCCGCGGGAGAAGGACGCGGAGCAGAGGCAGCCCTCCGAGCCTTCCGGCAGCCCCTCCGCCCTCGCCTTTGCTCCTGGGCATGCGCGGAGCCCAGGACTACATTTCCCAGAAGGCTTCGCACCGCGCTCCACTTCCGCTTTCTCCCCTCTCCTCTCTCGCCCCTCCCCGTGACCTTGTGACCTCCGCCTGTCAGGCTGAGTCGACTCTGGGTCAGCGGGGGCGTGCGTGGGGGCTCTAACACCCCCAGACACCCCACGGGACCCGGGCGTCCGAGCCCCACCCGCGCCACTGGACCCGGGAGACATGTGTCCCCCCACAAAGCCTGGCATCCCACCCCACACAGACACTCAAGGCTCCCAGAGCCCTCCCTCCCCTCGGAGCCCCCCAAATGCGACCATCCCGAGCCCTGCCCCACCTTGATCAACAGGATCCATGATGCCCTTCTGTGCCACCCCACCGCCGAGCCCACTCGGACCCCTGGACCAGGAGCCCCGTGCCCCCCGCCCCAATCCCCCAACGCTCCAGAGCCCCCGCTCCCTTCCCCCACCCAGAGCAGATGTCCTGCCCCTCCCCCGCCCCCACGTCTGGACCGAGGCAGCCCTGCCCCCCCCAAAAGTGCACCCCCACATCGTGTCTCCCCCCCTCATTCCCTCTTCCCATCCTGGCCCTTGACTCGGCCCCCCAAAGCTGGTTCTGCGCCCCCGATTCTCTCTTCCAACCCCTCCAGCACCTGCCAGGAGGCCTTGACGTTCCCCTCCGGAGCCCGTCCCGGTTGCCCCTTCCCCGGGGGTCTCCGCTGTCCCCACCCCCACCTCTGAGCCTGCCAGCATCCGGGGCTTCTGTCCCCCTGACCCCGACCACCAGACTCCTGCTGAGGGTCTGGGGGTGTCGGGCTGGACTCTAGTCCCCTCCGGAGTTTGGAGGCGGGCTGGGGGGTGGGTGAAGAGGGAGGGGATGCTCCCTTCCTACTTTCAAGAATCATTCGTTCTCCGGACTGACCCCACCCGCTTTCCCCCGGTGTTGTTACCCTCGGGGAGCCTTTCCGGGGACAGGGGCTGCTCCCAAGGAAGCCAAGTCCCCAACCTGCCTTGTCTGATTCTGGAGGCTGGGACCCCTGGTTGCTCACGTGCTCCTGCTGTAGTCGGCAAAAGTACATGAAGTGCCTACTGAGTGCAGGTGCTAGGCTAGGCCGGAGTGATACCAAAAAGGCTAAAAGATTGCTAGGCCACAGGAGCTTCTGTTCTGACAGGGGATACATCATGGAAATGATGTGTGTGTCTGTGTATCTGTGTGGGTGTGTCTATGTGTCTGTCTAGAGAGAAAGGAGGGGAGGTTATGGGGGAGGCAGCATCAATACCTGGGGTGACCTGAGCTGAGTCCTACAGGGAGCCCAGGGGTGGCAGGGAGGGGGCCAGCATTCTTGCTGCTCTCCCAGGTCACTAGCGGCTCTTCCTTCTTTCCCTCTCTGCAGCCTGTGATTGTCCATCCTCCTCTTCTCTCCCACTTCTACCTGTCTGACCCGTCCTTCTCCAGGTCCTCTGCCTGATCTTTACCCAGGTCGCACCCACTAACCCTGTGACCAGGGATGTCCCACCCGCTCTGCTCTGGATCCCCTTTTCCCTCTTCTACTTCACCTGGGGATCTCATCAGCTCCCACCGATCGGTGATCATCTCCATGCTGAGGATTCTCAAATCTCCTCATCCAGCTCTTCCCTCTCTGCTGACCTCCAGTCTCACATCCCTTAAGTGCCTCTTGGACGTCTGCAACTGGATGTCCTGTAGCCATCTTATACTCAACATGTCAAAGACTGAATTCACCATCTTTCCCCCACCAACCCTCCCCTCTTCTGAACTTCCCTATTACCACCACCCCAGGCCCCCAGGCTCACAGCCTAGGTGTCCTGCTTGACTCCTCACTCACTTATCTTTGGCTGTTCCCCACCCCCAACATCCAAGCACTTGTCCAGGTCTATTGACTTCACCTCAGCAGCATCTCTCCAATATCCCCTTCTGTGCTGTGACTTAGCCCCCATCCTGGGCAGACCCTCGTCACCTCACATCCGGACTATTGCGGTAGCTGCTGGGAGATCTGCCTGCCTCTAGTCTCTCCCCACTCCAGTCCACCCTCCATTCAGCTGTCAAAATGATCTTGCTAAAATGCAGATCTCACAGTGTCACCCTCCTACTCAAAAAACTGCCCCCTATTGCCTCCAGGGGCAAATACAAAATCTTCTGTTTGGCTTCCAAAGCCCTCTATAGCCCCCTCTCCCTTTCCAGTCTTCTTCCACCTTAGGCCAGCCCCCTCCCAGTAACACTTAATCCAGTGACACTGCCCTCCTCACACAACGTGCTCCATCTCCCAACTCCTGGCATTTTTTCTAGCCATTCCCCCTGCCTGGGACACTCTCCCTCATCTTGGTCTCTTGGCTTCCTTCCTGTCTCAGCTAAGATCCTGCCTTCTCCAGCAAGTCTTTTGTTATTGTTGTTCAGTTGTTTTCAGTTGTGTTGGACTAGATTCTTCATGACCCCATTTGCGGTTTTCTTGGTCAAGATATTGGAGGAGTGGTTTTCTACTTCCTTCTCTAGTTCATTTTACCGATAAGGAAACTGAGGCAAACAGAGGTTAAGTGACTTTCCCAGGGGCACACAGCAAGTAAGTGTCTGAGGCTGGATCTGAGCTCAGGCCTTGCTGACTCCAGGCCAGTGCTCTATCCATGGTACCACCTGGCTGCCCCAACTTTCTGTTGTTGTCCGATTATTTTCAGTCATTTTCAATCTTTTATTTGTATTATGTTGTCTGTAAATTTCAGCCTTTCCAATGCTCCTTAATTCTAGAGCCTTTCTTCTGTTGGTTATCTCCACTTATATCAAATGTTACATCAAAAATGAACAATAAAGGTGATTATATCCAAGTAATAGGGAGAATGTCTTCAAGAAAACTGTCAAAATTAGACTTTTTATTTTAAAATTCACAACCATGAAATAAAATGAGCATTCTATATACGTGTGTATGCATATATAC